CATAGACGGCTTCAAGAGGGAATTAGATAAACATATGGAGCAGAAGTCCATCAGTGGCTATTAGCCACAAGGTATAGAGAGGGACTCTGGGGCAAGTGATGCTCTGTCTTCTTGGTGTTTGGGGGGGGGGAAACAGTGGGAGGGCTTCTAGTGTCCCAGCCCCACTGCTGGACCTCCTGATGGCACCTGGTATTTTTGGCCACTGTGTGACAGAGTGTTGGCCTGGATGGGCCACTGGCCTGATCCAACATTGCCTTCTCTTATGTTCTTAATAAATGTGTGGTATTTCTATATTTTGATTTCCAAAACAATGTTCTGGAGTGCCTTTAACACCTCCCACTGTTTTTTGCATTACTATTATCCAATAAACTGCTTTATTTGTATCAGTAACACTTTGGAATCACATACCCAACCAAGGTGATAAGAACCTGTAAAAACAGAGGCCTCCTGCTTAAGAGGATCAAATCCACACACTTCAGCTGCACTTCACTATAAAAGGAACTGAAAATAAAACTGCTATATACTCATAAAGTTGGAAGGGGCCAATACAGCCCCTCTAGTCCCACCCCCTGCTCAATGCAAGATGAGCTTAGAGCATCCCTGACAAGTGTTTGTCCAGCCGCTGCTTTAAAGACTGCCAGGGAGGGGGAGCTCACCACCGCCCTAGGCAGCCGATTTCACTGCTGAACTGCTCTTGCTATAAGCATTGTAATGCTCCTGTGTAGCTCTATAGTCCAGCCCATTTTGGAATGCCTTACCTCAAAAAGGATATTACAGTGCTGGGAAAAGTGCAGAACAGGGTGACTGAGATGATCAAAGAGGTTGGAGCACCTTTCCTATGAGCAAAAGCTCGAATCCGACTCTAGGGTTGCAGTGTTTATCTCCGTTTATCTCCAAGCCGAAGAGCCAATGCTGTCTGAAGATGTTTCCGTGGTCATGTGGCCGGCATGACTAGATGCCAAGGCGCACGGAACGCTGTTACCTTCCCACTGAAGTGGTACCTATTTATCTACTTGCAATTTCTTGCTTTCGTCAGGAACAGGGATTATTATGATCAAAGAGGTTGGAGCACCTTTCCTATGAGCAAAGACTCGAATCCGATTCTAGGGTTGCAGTGTTTATCTCCGTTTCCAAGCCAAAGAGTCGGGTCTAAAAATGCTGAACTACCGACCTTCCAGCCTGCAGTTCAGCGTCTTAACCACTTGAGCCACCGCAGCTTTTAGGGTTAGGGAGAAAAGACAACTAAGGGGGATATGATAGAGCAGGGGTCCCCAATGTGGTGCCGTGGGCACCATAGTGCCTGCCAACAACTTTCCTGGTGCCCACCAAGTGTTTTTAGAAAACGGGCAAGGTCAGATGAGACTTTTGCCCAACAAGGCTTTTGATTGGCTATTTGAGATTTGATTGGTTGTGCAGATTTTTAAGAAGAAGAGATTGGATTTACCCCCCACCCTTCGCTACCCAAAGGAGTCTCAAAGTGGTTTACGATCTCTTTCCCTTCCTCTCCCCACAACAGACACCCTGTGAGGTAGGTGGGGCTGAGAGAGCTCTCTCGAGAACTGCTCGTGAGAGAACAGCTCTGAAAGAACTTGTAACTGACCCAAGGTCACAGCAGCAGCTGCATGAAGAGGAGTGGGGAATCAAACCCGGTTCTCCCAGATTAGAGTCCACACTCCTAACCAATGTTCCCTCTAAGCTCTGAAGTCTGTGAGCAAAAATCCTACTTCATGACCTGATGGCATTCAAGTTGTGAGCGAGTGATTTGGCTACTGCATCAATGAGTCTGCTCTGGAGCCCTCCTTCCTGAGCTAAGACCAAAATGTGTGAGCCGGAGGCTAAAAAACTGTGAGCTAGCTCACACTAACTCAGCTTAGAGGGAACAACCACACCAAACTGGCTCTCAAAACGTTGTTTTGGCAGCAGTGACCACACAGCTACAGCACAAGGACCTTCACTGTGTGATTGCAGCAGCCATTTTATGGCTGGTTCCGCCTCCTGCGGCAGCTGTTTTGTGGCAGCCATTTTGTGGCTGCGCCCACTACTCTACATCAGAATTCTAAAGGTGCCTGCGGGCATGAAAAAGCTGGGTCCCTCTCGGCTTGGAGGATCAGACAAAATTCAGAGGATCAGTCAAAATGTAGAGGATTAGACAGAAGCAACTAAAATGAAGTGATGCATTACAGAAAAGCAGTAGAGAGATTTAAAAAATAAAGCGAGCGAACAATATTTTCCCGACCATAGGTAGTGTGCCGCTGCAACAAGACGGCGCAAGTAATGTGTTTGTGTGTCAAGTGGTGTCAAGTTGCAACCCTAGCAAGGGGCTTTCAAGGCACGTGAGAAGCTCGGGTGGTCTGCCATTGCCTTCCTTGGTGGTCCCCCTTACACGTACCAAGCTCCCTTACACCTGCTGAGCTTCCAAGATCTGATGAGATCGGGCTATACCACGCTGCCTTCCCTCACCACCAGCAAGAAATAGGTACTGTGATATCTGTTTTCTAAGACACCTCTCAAGAAGGCTGTTCCCAAAGCCTAAGCATCCATAAGAGAGACCGGGGATACAGGGAGATTCTCATTCTGCACTTCAAAGCAGCCAAGACCGGGCAGCAGCCCAAGAGAGGCTTCTGGGATGGATGACGTTGCCAGCACCACTTTGAGCCCTCTTTTCCTTTTTTTTCCCCCTCATTAACATTTTATTGGTAGGATTAAAACAATAAAGCAAATATAACAATAAAAATATGCACTTTGAAAGGAATTTATTTGTCATACTTATTTATTAAGAGACTCACACCATGTTTCCCTGTTTCCTCAAGGCTGAAGGCTGCTTACAATAACAAACACATCTCCTTGCTAAAACCAAAAATAAAATAGCCAACCCCAGATCTCTCCCAGCTTCAAAGATGCCTGCCATTCAAACCCCCTCAAATGCCCTGGCAGACAGGCAGGCCTTGCAGTGCCGCCTTCTTCTTCTTCTTTTAAATTTATAGGTTTTTTTATTGAGATTAACTTTGTAAATTTATAACACAGATTACAATTTCAAGTAGACAAAATATGAATGTTAAAACATATTTTTGTAAGTTGTAACTTTGATTATAACCAGGGCTACTTTTGGGCAGGAACGCACAGGAACGGAGTTCCAGCTGGCTTCAGAGTTGGCCACGCCCACTACAGCCCAAACCTCTGTGTGTGCGTGGCTACCAAGCCTGTAGCTACAGTGGGGCATCTTGGGGCCTGGCCCCCCAATTTACTGCCACGCCCCCCACTTCCCATCCAGCCCAGGCTCTGTGATTTCCAATTTTTTATTTTATATGTGGTGTTCCCTGGGGGTGTGTGCACAGGGTGCCCCCTGACGTATTTAAAGCCCCCCCAAATTAAAAAATCCTGGCTACAGGCCTGGTGGCTACAGAGGGAAGGCCTGGAGAGCGACACTCCCACCCAGCAACTCCAAGGCGGGCAAGCCAGGGGGGGCCCTGGAAGGATCAGGGAAGGTTTGCCTGGGCTCCCCACAGCTAAGAGAAGGCATGGGGTGTGGCCTATTATGCTAATGAGTTCCTGCTTTACTACTGTCTTAACGTTTGTAATACAGGGGAATTTCAGACAGGTGATAGATTCCGGAAGGGAACTGGTTCTCAAACGGGTTCTGGTCTGTCATTTCAGACAGAACCCGTTTGAGAACCGGTTCCCTTCCGGAATCTCTTTGCCATTTCATACACAAACACTTCAG